GCAGCTGATCCCTTCGTGCTTGACCGATCCTGTGCTGGATGCCAGCTTGGCAGAGCCATCTGTGATTCAAACAACAAATTGGCAGTTGTCAACAGAGCAGGCCAGCTGTTGGCACAATGTCAAATTTCACACACACAGTAAATGTATATGCATCTAATAATAGGGCTTTCAGATTTCAGCTGCTCATAAAAGAAATAAGAATAACACATAGATTCTTATAAAATAGGTCAGAGACTGGTAGAAATTAAAGTGATAAATGCATTGTTAAAGGAACAATTTATGCATTAAGCACATTGTTCAAAATTGTAAAGCCCTTCTCCTTGACTCTCTTCATCAAATACACTGTGTGAGTGCACCTCTCCTCAATTTAAGAACTGACGTAAGATATTCTCTTCGGTGGTCCCTGCAATGAACAGGCTCACTCTAATGCAGTCGAATATAGCCAGAGACTTGTGCGAAGCACCATGGTCATGAAAAATGGCTTAGAATGGGGTCGCCAGGGGAGGGAGAGAAGTACTGTCATATTACTTAAGAATCGGCACAGCAGTTCTCACACAACCACCAGCAGCAACTGTGCCTCCAGTGAACGGCAAAAGGATTCCATGCTCTCGTAGCTGCTCAGCTGAAACACGGGCTGCTACGGTTCTTTCACAATGGGCCAGCTGCTTAGAAGTGCACTAAGTAAATGCAAGACTTCACAAATGCATTCACCACTTCATGCAGCACAGTGTTAAGCTACCAGGCTAATAACTATCACAACAATTAGATGTGAGATTGAGAGAAAGTTTGCATCTCGGCTGAAAGAGTTGGTTACAGCACACATGTCACTGTGCTTTGTTGTACTTTGCCAACAATTCCTCGCTTGTGTTCATGGTCTTTCTTCTGTCCACATCCCCTTGTGCTGAGCATTTTGTGACACGAGTAACTTACTATATTGTTCATTATCACATTTCGGCCCCTTTCTGTATTCATGACGTCAAAACCACATACTTCCTTTTTAAGTCCATGCTGAGATTCCCACAATTCTGATAAGAATGATGATAATTGGAATTGCAACCAGGCTCTGCACTGTGAATACACATGCTGGCACAGGGCACTTCGATTCACATATCTTAATGATAAGCACAACACAGTTCAGATGCAAGTTTATCCCAGCAGCAATCTAAATGTTTCTCTAGTGCATCTTTTCCCAGAGCAGGTCAACTCCAGGGTACAGTGCAAATAGGAGCAAATGCTTCTTGAACTTGGTACAAAACATGCAGAGCAGTTTCTATGGCATCTGAAATGGGGAAAAAAAAAACATGTCAGGCATATTAATGAAACATGAACAGGCCAACATTTTGCATGTTCTTTCCTGATCTTGATTGGGCAGAGTGGATGAATAAAGGAAATTAGAAATGATGGTGCAACATAAGTCATTTTGCTAACTTACTTAAGTGAAAACAGGTAAATAAAAATTGCTTTCCGTTGCTCAATGTAACACCTTTTATATGTTCCTAATAAAGAACTGACCTATCCTAAAATGCCTCAGGAATTATGAGACTGCCAAAGACACCGTTCAATAAAAAATGACATGAAAACAAGTTCTTATTTTTTTTTTCATTTGGAAATGGCACACTGAGATGTGATTGCTCTCATGTGGCAGCACATAATTTAGCTTCAACTGAATGAAACTGTGTGTTGGAATACATGACAGAATTGCTACGCGACTACAAACAATGCGTGGCGTACAGGCTGTGCACCATGTCCAGGGACTTGTGTGACTGTACAACCAGTCAATAATTAAACAAAAGAATAGACACATTGATGAAATTATTGGAGGAGTAGAGAAATGCATTAGAAATGCTGATTTCATTTTTTTTTTTTTTTTCACTTCGAGTTCTCTGCACACGACTGGCTATAATGAATACGAACGCGAGGCCTTCAACATGCTAAAATTGTTAACAATGATGCTCTTGTCTTTTTCAACTGTCAAACCAATGGTTGCTTGACATGTGGAGGCAAAAAAGTTACTGTCAGAAAACTAGCATACCATGCTCTGAATGCAGAACAAGCATCAAAATCAGATTACAGACCCCACTGTGACATTGAAAAGCAATGTAATGCTGTGCCAAGTGCCTGGCTGGTAAGAACTGACATGATTCAGAGTCATTGGGATATAACAAAAACAACGAGAACTTGGTAGAGAACTCTAAATGAAGCTTATGAACTCTGGCCACTTGTCAATGATTACATTTGCTTTTTCGTATTTAGAAAATCATACAGAAGCTCAAAACATCTGCTAGAAATTGCCAGAGCACAAGACTTGAGGATTTACTAAAAACTTGATCAGTTTCAAGGCGCAACCTTAATGTCACAAAACATTCCTAGCAATTGCTCCAGTTGTGACCTCAGCTCGAAACAACATGGTTATCCTTTAAAGGGGCCCTGTTATACAAATCAGGCATGTAGTTTTCGTTTCCTCTCAAAACTGTGGAATGCATTGACCTGGTTGCACGAGAGGCAACGCAAAAAACAAAGCTGCTGCAATTTTATATCTACGGAGAATTATAACTAGGGCGACACCCAGCAGCTTTTTTTCTGATTGGAAGTGATGCTTCCTAAGTGGGAGCGACGAAGCATGCCGTGTGCTTTGATTGCCCAGTTGTGCGCAATAATATTCATACACTCCCAGATAGGCCATACTAGTGTGAGCTGAAAATTACAAAAGTACACCTGGTATTTCCTCAGATACAAAAGGATCTCACTTTTTAAATGTGAAAACAATTACAAAACAAGAGGTCTTAACAGCCCGTACGACAGGAGGGGATAGAAGAGACGAAATAGAGTGCTGAATCTTCTATCCCCTCCTGTCGTATGCACTGTTTAGCATTCTTCACCTCACTTTACCTCCCCCAATCCTATTGTGTCTACAAAACGAGAAGCGCTGCACCATGGCCAGCATGAAGTGAGTCGTCTCTGCAAGAGGTGATTGGAAGCAGCCTTTGACGTCAGTCAAAAGGAAATATTTTTCCTCGTCACATCAGCTAATGTTTTAAAGTTGGAACTTTCGTTACCATGCACCAGTTTCGATAATTCTTTTAGCATTCATCTCCACATTCGGCCCTTCATGCGCTGCATAAAGCAGACAAAGAGTGTCGCAGAGCTTCTTACAAGCAAGACCACCACATCTGGTTTGATGTAGATGGTGTACAATGCCACTGCTAAGTCAGCAGCACCAGATGGTCTAGTGTTGCTGGACTACTTGAATGCAAAATTAAAATAAGTATTCGCAAAGCTTTGTGCTTGCCTATAGATAGAATAAGTCAGTTAAAACAGAACTCTAAGGACATGAGGCATAGAAATAAAAGCTCATCAGAAATTATGAAATGAGTACTTTAGCATGAGCCGAGCATTTTAATAATGTTGCAAGCTTCAAAATAAAAAAAAAGGGCAACATATGTAAACCTTATCAGAGCGAATGTGTAGACACCTCTCCCAACCGTGTATTTCTACAAAAAAATATTCACATTAGGTCCTGATTTCTTGCTAATGAAATTAACAGGGAATGAAAACATCATATTTTTTCAGGGATGTGATCAAGAAGTGAGATCTGCACCCTAAACAGCGTGCGTGTGCTACGCGATGAATGTTTTGCCTACAATGGTCCAACTTTAACCAAGCGGGTTCCTGTTGGCTTGAACATGTGAACACAGGCTTCAAAATTATGTTTTAAAATGCTCAGCATTTTACTTGCTGGAAATGTCATAATTCAAGACATATAAATATGACATTTATAGGATATGATTTGTGTTGTGCAACAGCTCTCTCTGATAGGCATGTTTCATAGGAGCTAAGCGAAACAGGCGTGCGTGCTATAGACAAAAAATGTTGAACAATTTTGGCAAGCAAACTGGTGTAAAATTGTGGCTACTATGCTGCTTAATATATGAACGACATATATATGCATGCCTGCCAGTGTGTAATCTGAGCTGAGTGTACATGAGTTGAAACGTATTGTGCAGCGTCATAGCAGAACACTGCATACTATGTAAATTGTTTCGTATAAACGACAAGCATTAATTATTACGAAAAAAATCAAGTCTAGCTAATGCACAATCTATACACACACAAAATCACTGTATAATCACAGTAGGTGCACCAAAAAGGTGACAGCTAGTGTGCAGCGCTGCTTATTAGGTTGCAGCGCGTTTTCACTTTCACAGTTTGCGCGCACTAGGTGCTAGCGTAAGTTTGCACTGTTTAATATGCAGCTATAGTTAATGTATGCACACTTTTGTAACATAAGCACGATTACGCACGTACGTACGTTGCCTGAAGCTACACTCATGGACGGATGTCAAGGATTACACATTTGCTAGCATACAAGCTAAATTTTCGATTGTATACCAATGAGCGTATTAGTAAACTTAATTATGCAAATTAGAAAACCATACATAACATTTGAGATGATCGCAGCCACATAGCGACACGAAAACGAAGCGGGCAAAGCATACTCTGTTTCCGACACCCTCTGCTGATGCTGTCAACGCAGTTACGTTACGAGCAGCTTATGCACCACGTTCCAGCCAGCGAACTTCGAAATCTGATAACGTGAAAAACAATCGTCGCTTGCGCGTCTTTTCGAGAGACCAACGTCCACAGGACGGGACGCGGCGATCGCGAGACCTTCCACAGGGGACAGCGTCCTTCGAGTGATTCCGACCTCGGGAGCTGGCTGCAGCACTCCGATGTCGGCACGAAACGCACTACGGGCCAAATCAGACCACACAACCGAAAGTGTCGCACACACCACCACACAAAACAGCTGAGGCGACAAAGCGAAACTAGAGTTGATCACGCTTGTGATGCGCAGGACGACGTGGCAAGGTCAGAAAGGGTATGCGTGAAAATTGAATCAACTAAAAAAATGAGATGCTTTTTGCTGCCAAGCGAATGCTACGTGTCACCGTAAAATAATTATGTTTTATGTTATGTGTTCTGGTTGTCGCTAGGGGACATCGTCATCGCTGGCGAAGTGAATGGTGGCCGAGAAAAAGTCGCGTCGTAGGTGCGCCCTGGTCGCATAGCTGTTGCTGCTGCTGCCCCTGCTAGCAATTTTAGGAAACTCTATGCTGCTAGCTACCCTACCACTGCGTCGAGTCGTGTGCCGTACGCATGACCTACTACACTCCTGACCTGTTCAGATAGCGGGGTTCCTATGGGAGCGCGTGTCCCCGCTCTCGTTCAATCGCTCGCCGTAGGTGGCGCTACCTATAACCTGTTCGTCTGCTACTTTACGGCTGTTTGGACGGCGCTAGAGTAAGAACGGCTGCATTCCGTGATGAACAGCCGGCATATATGTGACTATTTTTTCACTTAGATGACTGGTCAAGTAAGCTGTTCAGTGTGACGAAAAATTTATTGCACACTGGTGGACAAATGCGAGAATCCGTAGACTTACATAGTGTAGGACAGCATATGTGATGTTGCGTCCATTTAATTGCAAAGAATTTGTGAATGACTTTTGAAATATTTGTTTCAAAATTATTTTTCATTAGTGCATAATAATTACGCAATATGAGTGCTCTGTTGGCCGAAATATGACCACGAACACTCAAGCTGACGTCAGCGAACAGGTGCTGACTAGCGCCACAGTGCTCCTAAGTTACGGCCCTAGCGGCAGAAGGTATGAACTAGAACGTGGGCGCTGGAAGAGGTGCTCTCTGGGCAGGTCAGGAGTGTAGTAGGTCATGGCCGTACGTCGATCGGTGTTCAACGAAGAGGTGCTGGTGCGTCAGCGACAGCCAACGGCGCAGCAACGAGGGAGGCTCCCGCGAGCGCTGTGTGTTGACATAGAGTAGCTCGCGCGCCGTGGATGATGTTGAACTAAGCCGAGACACACGGACAAATCTGGGCGTGCAGCAAGATGCCGTTTCTCGGGGCAAGTTCTGCGTTCCAGCAGGATGTTGGTAAGTTGGTAACGCAGTGTTCTTTTACGGCTGCCCGCGGAACTAGCATAGCCTGTAATTACTCAATAGGCCTGATGGAAACCTCGATGTATGTATTTGACACGGCCTCTCGCGTCAAATTTGCTCGAGTGAGATAGATAAGCTGCGTAGAAAAATCCACGGGGTCAGTATCGCCGACCACCGCTTGTGCCGTGCGTTAGCTCGTTTCGGTTTTATTTTTGTGACGTAGTTTCCGAACTCGAAAGTCCATTAGTCACGCTGGCGCGTTACTGCACCCAACTTTCGGACTGGCACGATTTAGCGCGAGATCCTGATTGCTTGTTCCGAAAGGCGTCAACGCCTCTTGACTTGCTGTTCATTTTGCGTGGTGACGAAGGCGCGGCCTTGCTTATGGCAAGACCCGATACCCAGTTTCTTTCTTCGTAGATCTGATAGGCTGGCACTTGGTCATTCATTGTTCCTCTCGTGGCTTAATTGTGTGAGTCATGTGTGCGCGTGCTTTGAAACGTCTTGCTTGACCTGCAGAAAGTGCAACAAACGCAGTTGTTTATGTCGCAACCTGACGTTGGATTTGGCAGCGTAGTTTACATTGCAGCCGTCGTCATGTGTGGCCAGATGAGTTGTGCGAAATAGGTCTTTGCTCTGGCTGATACCGCCATACTTGAACTTTATCTTGTACCGTTGCGACAGTGGATCGTGGCTGGTTCGGTGCGTCGAAAGCACCAACTCTTTTTTAATAAACCATGAATCACTACTGCTGGGAGTAACTTAGCTTGCTCTAGCTCGTGATTTGCGTTTCCGGTCTTAAAAGGCTTATTAAGTGCGCTATTGGACATGGAGAAACGTGCGAAATGACACTCACAATAATATAGAGAAAGACGGGACGCACAGATTCACTCAATAGCGCTGGTAGTAAGCCTGATGGCTTACTACCGGTGGATAAAAATATGACAGTTGGTTTACACTCCTTTTAAGAGTGTAAACCAACTGTCTTATATTTTTATCCACAATTTGCATGGGCCGCAAGAAGTTATAATGCAGGCAAACAAGCTCTGATGAACTGTCAGAAGGAGTAACATTTGTGTTGAATTCGAATTTGTTTTTCCTGTTTGTGCATATCAGTCTGTTGTATGCTGTAGCCAGGCAACACCGTACCCCATAGTTTCTCGCAAATACAAAGAGGGTATTGTGGCGCCACCGACTATGCGAATTTTTCAAGAGGCGATGTTGGAGCACTGGGATTGACTGTATATGTGTCTGCGAGGCTTCGGCGCAAAAGTGAATACGGCTGCGTAAACAAAGCTTTTCTAAAATAACTCTTATAAGCGGATCTCATTAACGTGTATTATATCCTAAAATAAAAGTCCACTCACCTTGACGGCACAATCAAACATCAAAGGAAAGAAACAGACTGCATAAACGTAGCGGAAAAAACGCTCACCTTGTTGTCTGCCTGCCAAGTTTATTTTAGAATATAATACGCGTTAATGAGATCCGCTTATAAGAGTTTTGTTTTAGTGAAGCTTTATTTACGCAGCCGTATTCACTTTAGTCCCCGTTGGTTATTTCTTATGCTTCGTAAAAATGTACATCAACTTAGAAGGATCAAGTGTTAAGTAAAACACGTCTATGCAATGACATAAAATAAATAGCTTATTACGTGCTCTTTCAGTAAGAAATCAATCGCTTTAACGTGAAGCCAGACACGTCTTCGAAGTATACAAATCTAAGTCAAGCTCGCATACCCCGTCATTCCCTTGCATCCAGCACCCCATTAGCGCCAGATTTTCTTCTAGGTATTATTGTGAGAAACTCTATGCCGTACACTATATTCCCACTGTTTGTAGACCGACGTGCCGCACAGCAGATAGAGAGAAAAGTGCCTTGACAAGGATCAACCGACGATGTAGCGCTTTCACGGGGCTAGTGCGGGCCCTGCCAACACCTGCCATGCAGACAGAAAGCTTTTGTAAGCCTTTTTCGTAAACGAGTGGCAATATCCAACATACGGCCACCGTGTCGTAGAGTGCACACAAGATTTGCAGCGGAAATATTGTCACATTCTGTCTAGTAAAATATACCAATGTAAAATGCGTGGTAATCGCATGTGTGGTAATCTGTTAGCAAGTCTGCACCACTTCAATACGCTTTAGTGGTGTGTTCCCCTCGCATTTCGGAAATGTGATACGGGTAGTCTTCAGGCAGCTTCCAAAACAATACTGCCAGCTTCCTCCCTCGAGGCCTGGGAGTCACTCCTGTCATCAACTGACTACCGTGTTCAGGCAGAGGTGATTATGTGAGCCAAAACAGTCGTGGCAAGCTTTTGGCCCTACCCTTTGAACCTCTGGTAAGATGAAGTCAACGACCTCGTATTTCCGTCAATGAAGTTGTTTATCTCTCTCTCAATACGCTTGATTGTATGCCGTTCTAAGGAGAGATGAGAAATAAAGCGCAAACTGGGGGGGGTATGCGCTAATAAAAAACTCGCGCGCTCGCTACATTTATGTGTTTCAGTGCAATTTTTCTTTTCTGAGCACCATTCAGAAATCTGCTGCAGAATGTTACGCAGTCATCTTGATTGAAGAATCTTTGTAGTAATTATGTTACAATAAGCTTATGTATATGTTAGCATCGCTATATGTGATATATATATATATATATATAGTATATATATTAGTATCGTTAGTATCGCCTGAGCGTTTTCCGATTTCAGTCAACCGCCCAACCAATCGTCCAATAAGCATGTCTTTGCTAACAAAACGGCAAGAACTTTCTTACAAAATTGGTGACACCATGGTGACCAGTGTTTCATGAGCTTAATGCTCATGATAAATCAAATAAAGCTTAGCTTTGTATTCTTGTGGTCAAAATTATTGCAAATACTTCGTGAGTATCGTGAAAATATCGTGAAGTAACCGTATTCCATAACAACATTACAGCTTGAAGCAATTTGTTTTAATGAGTGACAAAGCGTCACATATGGCATAGATAGTGCATTTATACCCCTTTCGTTACTGTAAAACGCCCATGAGGCTTTTCAAGACACCAAGTGCACCACCTGGATCACACTACATAAAATAATGCAGCCACTGTTTAATTGGTAGAGAGTGGCGTATGGTAGCTGCAAATGGTGTGCATTGTTGCAATATTTATTCATGGGAAGCCAACACCACATCTGTGGACAGAAGTGGGTCAGTGGAACGGAGAATGAAGCGGTAATCGACGCTTGCAAATTGTGCTGGGGTTTCATCTTAGCCATCATATAAATGGTTGGTTTGCAAATTTCTACTCATTTACCCTTCATTTTGCGTGCAACTGTAATCTATTTTCATGTGGAACTCAATTCTGCGTCATGAAAATGGCCTGGTGTGCTACATTTGTCAAAACATGTTCGGCAACACGCTTATATGCCCTCTGACTCGCTCACTATCATCCTACAGATCGCCATGATGGTTTACCTTGTCCCCTATAGCCCCCTATAGGGAACCAAAGCTCAAGTTTTCGGAGCAATGACAAGGCCGCGCCTGGCCCTGGCGCCGAGCTCAGGAACTCTTGAGGAGAGACGCGAGTGAGTGTATTTCGCCGAAGCGGGAGCGCGTGCGACACGAGTGCAACCTGTTCTGCAGTCGGTGCGGCGAACTTGGGCGCTGTGCTGTCAGCTTGGCGTGCTAAAACAAGACGCTCGCTATGGGAAGTGGCCTTTCCGCGATGGAAGAAGGGGCCCCACGGAAGTGTCGCCGAGGTCCGAAGTATTGTGTTGTGGGCTGCCACAACAAGGCAGACATCAAGAGACGCTCTCCACGTGTAAAGCTGTATCAGTTTTCCCAGCAAGTCACAGCTGGCGAACACAGTCGCATTCGCGAAAGATAAACCGAGCATGACAAGAGAGCCGGAAAAAAAAAAGGGCGGGCACTTCAATTGACTCGCTGTGGTTAAACTTGGCTTGTTGCTTCGCGGCGACATCAGCAGGTCATGCGCTGTAGGGAGGACATGACTCTAAAACGTCTCAAATATTTTAATGCCATGACCCTATAACTTTAGTTTTTATTTTATTTTTTCAGCACGCGGCAAATGTTTGCACATGACAGTACACGGTCGCTACTGCTAGATACCACATCAAAACGAAAATTATATGCTTTCCATAAACATTAACACAGCACACCGATAGAGTACGCGGCTTCATGTCGGCAGAATGAGACTTACCTCAAGGCATACATTATACACGGTATTATCACGGAGGACCCGAAAAATGCATTTCGCAGCGACTCGGGCGTCCTCGTCTTCCGTCGTCTTCTTCACATCATAAACTTGACTAACGAGCTTTACTACTTTGGTGTGATTCGCTTTTTGGAAGTGCTTGTCCAGCTCCGAGATCTTTGTGAAGGTGCACTGTAGGTGGTACATTGTGAGGTAACTCTAACGCAGCGCGCGCTCTCTGCACGAGCACGTAAGCGAGCGGCAGCGCATTGGAGCGAAGGGAAAACGCGCCATCTACATCCCCGATTTCTACTTTTCTACAGATGGTGCTGCCTGTCCCGAGTCGCAGCCCCACCATGCATTGCTTTGGCTTCTTGTAGGCCGTGGCGAATAAGCTTTTAACCATTGCACAGGAAGTAAAATATTTTCTCCTAACGATTCAGTGCACTGCAGTGTTGCTCAGTTATGAAAGTATTTGTGTTGTGGGCCCTTGGATCTGGTTCTGGTAATGCCTTGGGCATGCTAACCAAGTATTTGTCAGCTTGATATATGGGTTTCATATCTAATCCTGAAGAAGACCTCTAAAGTCTTGTTGAAAATGTTCTGTCATTGTTGTGCCTGTGGGGAAAAGCATGCCTGCACCCTCTCAGGAGGAGGTAACAGTTGCTGTTGTTCTGCTCTACCTCCTTTCCTTGGTTCATGGCTGACTTTTCAATCAAATGATACATTTGGGGTTTGAATTGACTCTCGGTTCTGTTGAAAAAAAGTATTTTTTTTTTATATCCCAGAAAATGTCTAATACCATCTGTGTAGCATGGGTTATCATTTTTTCCATCTGTTTTTTGAGCGGGACAAAATTGAATTGCTCTTTCCCATCTCAGAAAGGGCAGCTTCTCCTCATTTTGACTTGGCTAGCATCCAGTGGCATACCAACCCTTTGTTCTCAAGGTTTTTGTAATGATCCCTTTTGATTATTATTTCTTATCCTTGTTTTGCTATTTCTTCGATTAAAGACTTGGAACAATTTATGAGCATTGTGCTAGAAGTTCAATTTCAGACAGTTTTACCGTATATGAAACCAACAGATGGGGCCTTTTGTGAGCTAAACGTGTAATTTTGTAAAAGCCAGATTGGTGCTGCAAAGAGTGCTCTTGGAACTTGTCTTGATTCTTGAACACTAAGCAGGGCAGTGCGAAAAGATACTGCCGGAAAAAGGCAGTATTTGACTACCTTTCTTTGTCTGTCTTTTTTGCACTTCCCAGTTAATTGTTCAATACACCTAATGAACTAAAGAGAAATGCCATTGATCAATGTTAAGGCCAATTTATAAAGGTTATTTTCACTTGATTCTGTTCTTTTGTTGACTGCCCCCAGCAATTGAGAGATTTTTCTTCAGGCTAGGTTATATAAAGTGATGCTAAAATAATTGAAGAAGTATTCACTTGTATTAGTGAACCACACCACAGTACCAAGAGTGCTACTCTTGTCATGCTAGAAAAGCTGGGAACTCCGTATATTTCTATGGTATCTGTTGAACACTGTATAATTCTTCGTTGGTAAAAGTGAAATTGGGCACTATGTAGGAAAGGAGACAAGGACTTCATGTGGAAAGGGTCAGAAACCTTTATTGATTTTTTAAAAGTGGGCAAAATACAAAACAAGAAAATGAAACTTTGACTTTCATTTCCGTTGTAATGGGGAACCTGCAGTCGTAAAGTTAACTTTTGCATGACAATACTATTATCAATCTAAACCAATCTCGCTTTGATGTCCCTGTACTGCCTACTGTGTGAGCCACGGGGCTATTTGACCATGTGTTTATCTCAAGGCACACAACTTCATTGCGATTACTGGTGTGCTGTCAGATTAGCAGCAACAGCAGCAGTTGCTGTCGCGGTGCTCGTAAACTCGCAGATGCCTTAGGAATGTTTTACCAATACCAACCAGCTTGCTCACGCACCTTGTCCTGTCATAGTTTGAAGTGCACTTGAACATTTGTACGCTGTATTTGCAATCTTTACAGATTTATAAATGATCAAGATTTTCAGAGTTCATTTATAATTGTATTATTAAAACTGCTAAATTAATGCTTTCTAATTTCTGTTATCATTTAACTTGTTGAATCTTTTCTTGTCAGCCTATCCAGATCCCAATAATATTGTTGGATGAAAATTTTGTTTTACCATATTTACAGCATTTTACGCATTATGTAAGGAATAAAACTTTTGTATAGACTCGGAATTTTCATTAACATGGTTGGTTTGCCGTCTTCTTCACATACTTGGTCCCACTCGTTACCACTGCATGAACCTTGATCATGAACTTGTGGTGATCTTTGTCGGCTCTACAGAATGCCAATAACATGTGAGTTACTTTTCACAGTAAGTCATGATTTGGGAGCACACTTTGTGTTATATAGAAAGCACCTGTTGAAAAAGTATGCCTTATGTGAGAATACTGTGAGGTGAAGTCGGCCTGTTATGTTGTGACAGATGGAACTCGCTGCTTTACATCTAACTTTATGGAAACTTTTCTCACTTTTCCATGTTGTCATAATTGTTTCAACGTGCATGCAAAATGTTTTAAACATTTTTTATTGGTGCTCTGATTCGCTGTCTTGAAGGGGTCACCCATTGAACGGAGCCGGTGTTGAATGGCAGCTGAAAATATCACTGCCGTTGTGAGTGATTTCATTAGTAGTTGCACAGGTGGCAGGTATTTCGTTTTTACAATAGCAGAAGGTATATGTATACTGTCTATATCAAACAAGCTTTGCCAAGTTTTTAGTAATATCATTCATAAAAGCAAAGTTATGTCAAGTTCTTTTTTTTATACTTTGACTGTTGTACTTTTGGAATATTTGGGCTTACATATTCTTCTGGTGCTATCTGCCATTAATCTACTACTTTGCACCACATACACATTACCAATGCAGAGCACGTTAGCAAATTTTTCTGTCAGTAGTTGCAATGTGATCAGCAGTTTGTTTTTTTCAGAGCTATTGAAACTGAAAATTTAGGTTGGTAGATGAGAAGCTGATAAGTTATACACCAAGAAGCTGTGGCCATACATTGAAAGGTGCAATATTATGAGATGTGGGAGACTTGTGTGACCTCAGTACGAAACTTGAATACGACGTCATTTTAGAGCAGCAGGACACCGACTATGGTTGCTGGCGAAATAGTGATAACTGCAAAGGCGCAGGCTTCTGGCACTCTAATGACTAAGGCCAGCCCCTGATGCTGGTGAGACAGCCATACTTCTGCAGTGCTAGGAAGAACTATTATTCAAATATTTCTGGTGGTAAAGGTGGAGTTTACTCAAGATTTTGCTTTGCAAAATCTTGAGTAAACTCCACCTTTACCACCAGAAATGCTTTTGCTTTGCAGGCTCACTCGAAAACGCTATTTTTTGTTGATAATCTACTATAACACCATTGTGCAGAGAAGGCCACGAGCGAGCGCAACACCAGTGAGGACTGGGCGCTCATCCTTGACATCTGTGACCGGGTGGGTGCTGTGCAAGGGGGCCCCAAGGACTGCCTGCAGTGCATCATGCGCCGCATGAACCACACCATTCCGCAGGTGGCTCTGCAGGCACTCACAGTGGGTAGCGTTTAGTGAAGACAGCATGCTTTCTTTGTTCGGCCATACTAAGGCCCAAAAGACAAGATTGAATTAACTGCTGCAAGTATTTAGAGCTAAGTAATGCACACACTTTCATTTCCACGGTCTTTCGTTTGTGTCATTTTGACATTAATTTCGCCTCAAATTTGCATCGGAAGCTGCTTGATTTTTAAAGACCATATTTGTTGCAACATGATGATGCTAATGTCTTAAGCACGCCTGTCATTATGCAAAAAAAATCTTCACGTAAGAGTGAAGATTAAACCCAGGCGTGATGTCCCGGTGTTTTACCACACAGCCACATGTCTGCTTGGTAATACAATGAAAATAATTGCCACTGCTTAAAAAATCATGTACAAATTTAATGCTTTACAAAAACATGTGTTCTGTTTACAGGCTTCACAATACAATTGCGGATGGATTTTATGGACTCGAAAAGTTCGGACTTATTAAGTCTTTAGGACTTCACAAATACACCGTCAAGATTACCATTGCACTAATGCATTTTCGGTACTGACTTTTCACGTGAATTTATGTTCCAAATTTTGCTTTTTCCAACTAAATCGCCTGTTTTGAGTTTTGCCGCTCAATTTTGAAAGCCACATATTGGATTTTAAGTTGGCTTGCAGTGCCTAGTTGTGTGGCATCTAAGATGGGAAGCACGAATAATCTTCCACTTTCGGAGGCTATCTTTGATCTTTCTTGGCTAGCGAAACGGCAAGAAAAAAAAACACACATCAACATCATTAGTACACCAGTGCGTTTTTATTTTCTGGCCATTTGTTTTTGTGGTTATCATTGCACACGTGGTTGTGTTCATGGTGTGTCAAGTGGGTTTAAACCGTTGTGCGGGTCCCATGCTCGCTGCTTTTCACCGTTGCTCAGTAGCACTCCATGGTCGCCCTGCCGCGGGGGTCTAGTGGCTAAGGTACTCGGCTGCTGACCTGCAGGTCGCGTTATCGAATCCCGGCTGCGGCGGCTTCATTTCCAATGGAGGCGGAAATGTTGTAGGCCCGTGTGCTCAGATTTGGGTGCACGTTAAAGAACCCCAGGTGGTCGAAATTTCCGGAGCCCTCCACTACGGCGTCTCTCATAATCATATGGTGGTTTTGGGACGTTAAACCCCACAAATAAATCAAAGCACTCCATGGTCATGGTGCTTGGCTACTGACTTAAAATTTGCGGGTTCGATTGCGGCTGTGGTGGTAGCGTTCTGATGGTGGCAAAATGCTGGAGGCTTGTGCACGGTGCGGTATCGTGGCTGGTAAACAAGCCCAGAACGTGTTGGCAATTTTAACCAAAGAGGCTAGAAGTTGGGTGCATCTTTCTGCGACCGGCATAAAGTTTTGTTTGGTTGATTCCATGGAGCCATCAACTTTGCCGCCCAAAACAGCTGGCAGCAGCAATTGCCAACGCACTTGCCAGCGGCGTGTTACTGTAACCCAGACAGAACTAAGTTTGCTCGTCCCCAACAACAGCATGAAGCACGGCAGTATTGGGGATTTTTTAAAGGCTTTTTTGATTCAAAGAAACTTCATTTTCATGGCTTCACCAATTTTTTTGGACCATTTTGTGGTCCCCGCTAAGTCGGGAAAATCGTTCGGCGGCTGTATAGCATATTATGTCACAGTAATCTTGTGTGGTACGAGCATTCATTGCCATGAGGTGCCAGGACATAGGGTTATCGTAACGACTTTGTGATTAAAGCAGGCAGCCCATTTAAAAAGGCACATGAGTTACTGCCTGTACTCCCTTGAGGCCACGTAGCTAAGGAAGTTTGAAAAGATTTTGCGCGCGTTATTGCTCGTGGTTGAAAGCATGTTATTCATTACACAGAATGCAGCCATATGCACAAGCATCACTGACACAGGCCGCCTTCAGCTTTATCGATTAGACTGTAGTAATTTACAAGTTAAAGTTCTCGAATAACATCATACAATAAATAGTATGCCTTAAGTGGTTGAGGTACTAGGGGCAAGATATCACTGTCGCATTCAACTTTCAAAATTGAAGCTTAGGGGTCCCCTAATTTTTAGAAATGACATATTATTGATGTGTGCTCAGTGGTAGTCAGATGATGATCTAATGACTGCAATGGCAAGACAATATTGGTACAACAACTGCAATGAGAGAAAGCTATTTACTCTAAATTTGTCAGTGCAAATTCGCATTGTGTGGAGAATTGTGTTGTAATCATAACAAGGTTTTTACATTGGCAGTGTGGTTGATGCAGGGGCATTGCACGCTCTTCAGTTTGTATGAACAAATAAAATGTACTAAGTAAGAGTTTGCTTTCTCAATGTTATTTTGATTGTTGCCGATATGTTAACTTTATAAAATCTTGCCCATGCATTTACGTTTGCAGCTGCTGGATGCATGTGTAAAGAACTGTGGCAAGATCTTTCACTTGGAGGTGTGTTCTCGAGAGTTTGAGTCTGAGTGCAAGAAGCTTCTTTCCAAGGTATGTGTGTTTGGTGTGTGCATGAATTCGAGAGCACTGCTTCATTTTCTTGACTCTACAATTAAGGAAGCACAGAATTTTTTTTTTTTTACAGCTGCAGCATAACTGAACCTCTTTCGTAGTTGTTGACTTGTCATGGATGAATTCTTGTGCATATGCCAGAGCTTGCTGTTACATAAATATGTTGGTATGGCTGTTCTATACTGTTAAAACAATAAAAAGGGGAAGAGGGAAGCTTGCGATAAAAAAAATCTGTAAACAGGGGTTGTATGCTCCAGCCGACGTTTCAATACGAGTCTTCCTCAAGGCTAGGAAAGAACTTCTAACCTGGAGGAAGACAAGTCCGCTTTTCGAAACATCGGTTCGAGCTCGGAATTTCGGTTTACGAATTTTTCTATACTGTTGTCACTCAGTGACTACTTTTAATCATGGTAGGTTTCTGATAAAACTTACGATTTGCGATTGGCTTCCTTGTAAAAGCTGCTTAAATGAGCAATCGCTGCTGAGAAGCTGATCCTGACTGGGCACTGTGTGTAACACCGGTGTTAAACTGCACCCGTCGTGTACTTGCCATTGGTCATTTCATTGGGGAAAGGACACTTCCTTCTTTAACTTATTCAGCCCAGCCTTCAGTAGTGCTGATATTTTCCTCTGCTTTGCACTAAGTTACCAAAACTAGCTATATTTAGTTGGAACACACTGTTTCACACTTGTGGATTTGGCACTGCACAGGCTCTTTATATATGTAATCATGTTATGTTAGCGAACATGTAGCAGATGTGTTTTATGCATGCTCAATTTTCCCTCTTGTTAGTAGTAAACAAATATCCAGAGTACCTACATGAATTAGCAGATATTAGGTGCAAAAGTGAAACAAGACTACATTCTCATGCTGTTGAATTTAATTTGTGTTCTTTATCAATTATTATACTTAATGAAGGAGGCATTGCAGGCAGGCTTGATGTGTGGTGTAGGTGTGAACTGCAGTGGTGCCAATTCCCAGGGCCACCCACGTGTGGTGGAGAAGATGAAAGGCTTGCTGAAGAAGTGGGCCCAGGAAGACTTCAGCAAGGACCCCCAGCTCAGGTGGGTGGCTGTCAGACCTTGTCCAGGCTTTTGGCATGAGAAATTCTAGAGGCAATAAGATTGATAGAAAATTAGGCTTAAGTGGTGCTTTCGTATAGCGAAAAATGGCAAAAAAAATAGATTTTTTGAATATTATGTATTCAGTTTCAGCAGCGCTTCTTCTATCGAATTCCGAAATATTTAAACTTAAAATGGCATACAGCGACAATGGGAATGATGGGTAGTACACGGATTTGCTTAGTCTTCGTGCTTGCGGGATGCAAACGCACTTGTGGCTACGCACTTTTGGTTTTGTTTCGAATAAAAGAACAAACTGTTTTGGACTTCATGCCTGATTGGATTTTGAGCCTAAAAGTGATGAAATGCAACTGATAAACCTTTGCCGATTGTTGTCCCGAGACGAAGCAGGTCTAAGCCACATGGAGCTGCTTAGTTAAAGATTACACACGAAGCCAAAAGGAAGAAGATTAGACAAATCTATGTACTACGGAACAATCCGGCGCTTGCTGAAGTGCCATGCGCTGCAGCTGCTATAGACACTAGCACCAGAGTTTTCTCTAGTGTATTTAAAGGAAACTCTATGGCTACGAGGCTTCTACTTGGCCGCATCCTCCATGTTGCTCCCGCACGACTTGTCATTGGCTAAACCAGAAGAGCGTCTTCTGCTGCTTGTGCCTTTGCATGTCGCAAGGTCAAGGCTACTGATGCATGTTCTTTGATGTTTGTCGCTTCTTGACTGATGTTGTCGTTTTCAGCCATGCGGCTGCGGCTTTGCCAGCTGGGGTTTAGGCTCGGCTCTTTCATGATGTCTTCTGATGCCTTTTTATTGCCTGCATTGAACTTGAGCGCTGCTTCTGCCACAGCTGCCTCCACCGTGGACTGCGAAGCATGTCGCTCCTTTGGTGCCAGCGCCTAGATCAAGGAATGCAGGCATTCGTTGTTATTTTGGGTTTTCCCTCGCTGGCATCGTTGCAACAGCTTTCTGTCTTACAAGCACTCATAAATGGGAAGTAAGGCTTGGCAGACATGTGAAGGCAGCTTTTGACGATGTTTGGGAATGGGAATCGGCCTTTGCCGCATTTTGTTTGCACCAGGAATTTGGAGCAGCTGGGCACAGTGTGGTTTGCCACATCATCATTGGACGTGATGTGATGATAAGTGGCCATCACTGCTGTGTGCATAGCATCATCACCACTGTGTGTCTTCAGAGCCCACCCATAATAATTGGTGAGCTTGGAGATCAGGTCTAGTGTCAAGTGGCCCTTTCCCCCAAGTCTCATGGCCAGGGCCTTTGTGTTTTCCAATCAAGTTGCGCAAAGCAGTGCTCATACGCTTTTGGTCATGATTAATGCAGTCGTTTTTTTCCATGGGGATATACCCATAAACCTTATCTTCTTGTAGCGCAAGGTAACTACGGCTGTCCCTGTCGCAAAGCACCATGGTGTAGCGCAGGTTGTGCGTTCAAGTGACCTCCTAAGAGCATGAGGGCATCCTCAACCTCCATTTCCCCAGTCTTCTTGTCACTGTTTTTCTGACACTGGTGATGTTCCTTCCACGCTGCATAAGAAGGGTCACCTTTCTTTGCGCCCGACTCGCATCCAGCACAAAAGTTGCTCAAAACAACGAAGTCAAGCACCAGCTTGCTGAACAACTCTATGATGGTGCCGAGACCGATATGCGACGAATGACCGCAAGTCATCCATGACCCATCAAACGACACCGCAATGTTTCCCATGTGGCCTGTATTAAGTTTGGCGTAAAGTTCGCGAACCAACCGCAAGCAGTCGCTCATCAAATTGCATTCAGCAGGATCGGCCGCGAGTGCTAACTTCGTCTTCACGCAGTGTTGCCACGTTTTCGTGTGAAGACCCCGACGACTGATGCCCGTCAACGAGAACACATCATTCAGCGCAGTCTGTCTGTTCCCCGTTGCCTGCATGGCATGCGCGGCCATAATGTTCACAGCAAAAGGTTTTCATACGTTCATCGCTACGTACGCGTGGCGAGCTGCGCAACGACGCAGTCTCCCCACAGGTCGAACACACAAAACACAACTCCACGGCGAGTTTGAATTCCCGGTCGTCGCGGACAATCTGCGGTTCTCCATTGCATGCCTTGCACTTTGCAAATGCCGACAAAGCGCTGTTCATTGCATCCAAATCTATAATTGTGAACGTGGTTCCATCAGGCGGCCGAGCTGCTTCGTGGGCACCGTCAACCACGAATGTACGTTTCCGCTCCGTCGCTGCTGCAAACGACGACTCCGATAACTTATCTTCGGCTTTAGCTCGCTCCTCTTCCAAGTCAGATTGCTGCCGATAGATACTATCTAGATGCACGGGACAGCTGCTCGAAGGCTTCGCGGCCGACGGACTTTGCACAGGCTCTGTGACAACTGATGCGGTAGCTAGGCCTTCCATGGTAGCGTCGACGACTTCGCCATGGGACGAAAAGAGTGTAGCGTCTTGGGGGGTTTTGCTGTATCATGGAGCGCTTCTTGAAATTCGCGACTAGCGTCCTTCGCACTTTTTTCGCACCGAACTTGTGCCGCGTGCGGAATTTGCGCTCAGGATTTGACATCATAAAATTTCTCCGCCGACACTGAGGCAAAATGGCGCGCATGGACGCGCGCCTCAATACACGCAGCAGACGAAGCCAGGAGCCTCCACAAATAGGGAGGCAAGCTCAAGTCCTTCCGCGAAATAGTAATAGGAAGGCGCTCTGATACTTCTTTTTGCCGCTCATTTTACAAGCTGCCAATGGTTGAATTGGACCCATTCTGGCGGGAATTTGAAGGCGAAAGACGGCTTTCTCAAATAAGGCCAAGCGGGCCCCGCTGACACACATTAAAGGGCAGGGGCGCGTCACAGAAAGTGTGCGATTTCAACGTTGATTTCGGCTCGCATTTAGCTAGAAAGCGCCGTATAAAGGGTTTTAGCAGGCTAAAATAATGATATTATAGGCATAAAATTCACGGTGCACTAGTAGCTGTACATTTCAAAAACGCAATAAAAAAAGGAGTTTTTTCGCGATTTTTTGGCCTCCACAACCAGGGTCCCCCCTTAACAACTGTATTTGCAAGAACTGTTTAATGATATTTTGAAATGTTAAGTTCAGTCGTCCATTTGCTAATGGCACCGTTTAAGCATACACTGCCGAGAACCGAAACAGGCTAGCAGTTCAGGAGGCAACACGCACGAGTCTCGAATATGCTTATTGCAATCTGCACTTGGAGGCGAAGCTCAAGCATTCTCTAATTTTTTTCAATAATTGTGTGATACCCTCACCATGATGCATGCTTTGTACTAGTAGTGTAAGGAGATGCGTATGATTCTCCTTACACTATGTGTTTGTTTCATGAAACAGAAGTGAGCTTGGTGCACTGTGCATGCATGCAGTTCTGAGTATAAGGAATTTAGGCGAGGAAAGGCACGAACGCTGCTTGTCCCTGTGATAGCCTGTGTGGTGTGTTCGCATCAAAGGCAGCGCGAGAGTTGAAACCAGACAATTTTAATGAAGTTCAGTTTGTGGGTGCGGGGGTGTTCGTGAGGGGTATTGCTTTTGAAGGGCCATTCTCTGGACATGTTGCTGATTGTATGTGATAACCACTCTTTTTCCAGTTGGTAGTGCAATTTCAAAAATATTTTTATTTTGTCCTTTTCAGTCTCATTCCATCCCTCTATTCCAAGCTCAAAGGAGATGGCGTTGACTTTGGGTGTGAGGGAGCGGTGAGTTGATCCTGTGTGTTTGCATGACTGCTCTCGTTTATTTTTGTCCTGATAAGTTGATTGCAGTGAAATTGGGCCCTGCAACACTTTTTGAGCATTGTGAGAAAACGCTGCTGATTGGTAGTAGAAGTTTCCGGGAACACGTGAGCCAAATATTACAGCACAGCACGCGGCTTACAATTCAGAATAAATTATAAAAGTCAGCTGCAAAATGCTTTTTCTTTATACTAATGATGGAGGAAGCTCCAAAATCACTCGTAGAAGGCCATCTATCAATCATTGGCCGATTTGAACATGGCGCGCTCAGATGTTACAGGTATTGCTGCGGGAAGCCGTGACATGTGTGCGCGTGATATCACACTGAAATAGCCGCACTTCGGAGAAAAGTGCTCAAGGTCATGAGGCACGCACGACTTATTTGCTTTGCCAATGCCATCCTTTCCTGCTTGACTCCCAGCACTTTCATTGGAACGAGAGAAGAGATATTGCGATTGCAGTGTGTGACAGATCTTTGTAACTCCGCCCGTCCTGGATGAATTCTTAAAGTTTTTGCGGCGTTGAATTTGTGAGGTAATAAGCTCTTTTAGTGAATCCATTTTATGGCTACTTCAAAAAGTGTTTCAGGGCTTCTTCAAGAAACAAGAGAGCAGATTGTATCGTGTAACAAATGATTCATGTGATCAAAAGAAAATGGACATGTTGTGAGGAGGCCTCATCATACATATGGCTAACTGCAATTTATGCTATAGGGAAGGGATTCGGAATGTCTAATACATTTGCAATATGTGCAGCAGTTCTTTAAGGGGGAGATGCAATTCGAAAAAGAATTTTCGCTAATGTGTAGCCTAGGGCAACGAAATTTGTCCCTGTATGTAGAGACTTTTATGCTGATTTCAAATATGTAATTATTTTTATAGTAAGTTGCACAGTTTTCATTTTGTGCCATGAAAGTGTAAAGTATAGCTCATTTCAGAAAAACTTTTCTGGTTCTGAGCTGTTAATGGTTCATATTGTTCCACATTAACTGTGTTAACTGTAGAATGCAAACAACTCTAAAAAAGTTCGTACAGTCGAGCCCACATGTAACGGCTCCAGTGGAACAATACACACGTGACCATGCAAATATACATTATTTCAATTGCCAAAACACAAATTTGCATTTACAACGAACGTCTTGAGTGTCACCGATCAGTTACAGCGAACAGAGGCTGCACTCTCGCGACTTTCTGGGAAACAAATTTCAACCATTGATAAGCCAGCGGCGAGGTTCCCATAGATTCTTATTGTTATACGCCAACCCTGCCTTCGCACCCCTTTAGTTGTCTTTGTTACGGACCTTCCCCCCTGAGCACTCCGCATCGTCAGACGAAGCCCATGTTTTCATATTCCCACCGATCTCTCGAAGGTTGGTTGGCCAAATATAGTTCGGGGGGAGCTTGCTTCATCTTGATCTGCCTATCTTCATATTGTCCTTCTTCAGTTTTTGATCTCTGGTTTTGTTGCGCTCTTGTGCGCGTCGCCCACCTGGAGTGATGAGACCATTTGGCAGCATGGTCTGTGTCTGGGTAGTGTCTTGATCGATGTCGTATCGTTCCAGCGCACGCGCTTGTGCTACCCCAGCGACTTTACTAATTCCCGATTCGTTGTCTGTTTTGGACCTGTTCTTGCTCCCTCGGCACGTGTTTGGAAGTGAAAAAACGGTTTCTACAGAGAAGAAATCGCGAAATATTGAAGTCGGCGAGGCCGTGCAAGTCTGCCGTAGCCACAATGCGATTCATTGACCTCTGTGGGCACTGACCGCTCTCCCGAGCTTTCCTGCGTGCGAGTTGCACAATTCGTGAACCTTGCAAGCAAGCTACCTCACCTGCCTTCTTTCCGCTTGTTTTGGTTTTCAAGGTCGCCTTCCCACCACTCTTTGCTCTATTGCAACTCCTTTGCCTGTTTCTCACTCTCTTCTCTCTATCACAGCTCTGCCTGTCTCCACGCACTCCATCACGCCAGCCACGCTGGCTCGAGTTCAGAAGTTTTGTTTTCAAACTAGAAACGGGCCCAAAGCAGTTCAGCGCATGCTGGCTTCTACGTTGCGTGTGTGCATCTTGCTCACTGTTGATGAGTGTGGTCAGGATGGCAGCCGGGAGGCCTTCCACCCTTTTTTGTGCTGCTCAACAAAGCGTCAAAAGTGTGACCGCTTGGCTTGGGTATAATCTGGCGCATTTGAGACTTAGTATAGGTGCCGCATTGTCGAACGCTTGCTGGTATAGGTGCCGCATTGTCGAACGCTTGCTCATATCTGTTGATCACCCGATAGCTAACTTGCCACTTCGGGTGTCTCTGTATTCAGCTTTGGAGATGATGAAGGCTTCTTGGGCGGAGGTAACAGCTACATGTGTGCGAAACTGTTTTTGCGAGGCCGACTTGATGTCGGACGTGATCCCAAGTCTGCAGCTTCTGCTATTCGAAACACGTGCATTACGGACTTTTTTTATAAAAAATATTTGTTTTCATTCTCAACTTTCATTAAAGCTGTGTTTCATTTGCTACAAACTTTCGAATATAGCGCAGAGATGCCGCATCACGCTCAGGTTCGTTATAAGCGGGCTCCACTGTATAAGGCATGTTAATGGACAAGAGAAATCGTAATTTGGGAATTTGTTAATGGAGAACAAAAATTGTAATGTGGGAAATTGTACAATCCCCAGCCCAGACTAATTGCTTGCTTTAGGTTCACAATAATTAACCAAGCAATAACAAGTTTTCATGGAGATTTTGGCACCCTTCACGTGATAAGGAATATTTGGACAAAATTTGATCCAAATTAGGGTATCGGAAGTACCAAATGTTTTGACTGAAGAATATGCTTTATATGCATCTTGGGAAAAACACATTTTAACGGCATAAGTCAAAGCTCATCAAGGCCAAGATAAGTTATCTTGTAATAGTTTACTCCATGAAAGCTTGGCAATTATTGTTATATTGAGGATGTGGCTTTAGTGAACTCGTTATGTGAAATGCAGTGGCGAGATGCCAGATGACAATTTGCAACTTGCAGGGAAATCTAGACAATGAATGAGCTCTTCTAAGTTTTATAGCGAAAGATGTTACGAGATCACAATTCTGGTCACGTGCAGTTGTCCACAACTTCTGCCGCTGATGTCCGTAACCACATCGCGCAAAATTAGAAAAAAAAAACTAGCACCAATGACACAGTGCGGCTTGAATCTGGGTTCGCTGGGTGCCAGCCCAGTATCCTACCACTGAGCTACGCCACTTGTGTTCAACATAACGAAGTGCTGTACATTCAGAAAAGGGAAATCTGCATTGGTGGTAGGGTAGCACCTGTCCTGTGTGAAATATTTCAGAGTTTTGTGGACAGGAAGTAGGTACATGGCTTGGATGGATTGGTTAAGCATGTCTTTCGCTATCTAGAAGACTACTTGGTGCTTTTTGATGTCCGTGATGATCGAAATTTCGTGAATAATTTGAAAAAGTTTCGAGAGAATGGCAGTGGCCTAAATTTCTCGTTTGAGTTGATGACAGAAGGGGTGCCCCAGTTCCTAGACTTGAAGTTATTTTCGACCTACACATGTGTGTTGGCACTATCATTCTCGATCACTTAAGGGGGGAGGCTACCTTCGAAGGGCAACTTTTTTGTTTGTTGAGATATCTTAATGAAATTTTCAGGGTACACTAATAGCAAAGCCATTTGAATAACCACAAAGTTTCATGCAGTTATGTTCACTGGTTCTCAAGTTACAGCCATTTATCAGGGTAGTCCACATGGGTCCCTTAGTCAGGGTCTGGAGAATTTGAAAAATGTGCTAGCACTGTGAAATTCACTATGATGATTCCTGGATAGGTGCTTTAGGGCAAGACAGAGCCCTTTTTTTAAATTTCCTTGCCAAAAAATATTAGCAGAGCACTGAATTTAGTGTTCACAATTTGGCTCTCATCAATGAAGTTTTAGTTAATTATTACGAATTACAGACACAATAAATTGAAAAAACGGGCTTGTCTTGCCCTGGGCAATTTATTAAGGTGCATAATAAAAAAACCTGATAGAAATCAGACCAGCAGTTCCAGAGAGATCACCTGACTAAGCAGCCTCACTGGCCAAAAAAGTCATTCTGAGAAAATTGACTTCGAAAGTTTCAAACATTTATTATGGTCTAAAATGACCCTGCAGAGTAGCTAGATGTGTCCTTAGGCTCTCTTTTTCTTTGCCGCTTTTCCTGCTTCTCATTCATCCATTTCTGAGCCTTTCTCAGACGCAGAGAGTCTTTCTCCGCAGCTCGTTGAATGGTTAGGTGGCCAGGTGTGAGTCCCACTGATGACGACAACTCTTGGGTGGCCCTGTAGCAGCTGGCATTATACCGCAAAACTGCGTCATGCAGTGCTGTCTTGACAGCAATCAATGATGCATGTTGCTCTTTGGGCATCAAGGACCATAGGACAGAATGGAATGACTCCGATGCATTTTGCGTCTTTGCTCCCAGGCAGCGTTGCAGTAGAGAAGCCTGCGAAAGGCGCTGGTAGACTGGCAGCAGCGCTTCTGCAACGTTGCCCGGAAGATTGTATTTGTGCTTTGGAGGTGGCACGCCATTCCCCTTGCAGGCATTATGACGGCACCACGAGTCTGCACCTTCCGGGCACAAGTCATGGTGAGGATCCTCGTCAGTTGAGGTGACGTGATAATATGATGCCATCACTGCACGCTGCATTGCAGCCACATTGTTTGAATTGTTCCGCAGTGCCCAGCCATAATAGTCTGTGAGTTTATCAATAAGGGCTTTTGTCAATCTGCCCTTCCCTCCCAGAGCCTGTTCGCTTTTCTGCACAAGATTACATAGGGCTGTGCCCATCCTCTTCCGGACATGGTTCAAGCATTCTTCTTTCACAATAGGGACTAGCCCATAAACATTGTCTTGTTGAAGGGCAGAGAATGTGGCGCTGTCCCCATCAGATACAATGGTTGTATACCAGAGGTTATGCTTGGACGGAGG